GTTCGAGAATGTAATGGGTCCATTGTCATTCGTAAACGATACTATGATGGTTGTAAGTGATAAGGATACATCTGATCAAATTCAAAATGATGTTGAAGAGGATGACACAGAGGATTGGAACGATGAGTTGCATGATGACTATGAAGATGATTTTGCTGACAGACATAATGACAGTTCAAAGGACTATAGGGGTGAGCACACCGACATTCGGGGTTGCAGTCATGTAGACTACAGTACAAGACATGCCATAACTGTTGTGTTAGAAGAGGTTCAGGTCGATGACCATACCACAACTGTAGAATTAGAAGATGTTGAGGGTGCCAACCTTATTTATGACAACGACATCATACTTGAGAACGACATTCATTCGCTTGATGATAATGATCAAGAAAAGGTAAATACAGGGGTATCTTATCAATGGATTATTCTCGGGGTAGATATGATCTCTTTTCAATCAATTACGAGTGAGGAATCCAGATCAATGGATGACCATTTATATTGCAGAAAAGTGTTTCCATCGAAGGTCAAATTGAAACGAGCTTTGAGCATGTTGGCACTAAAAGAGTATTTTGACGTTAGAGTTAAAAAGTTATGTCACACTTGTTTTGAGGTTGGTTGTAAGGAGAAGGCATGCAAGTTTGCTTTGTATGCAACAAAGTTACCTGAGGGAGAATATTGGCAACTTCAGATGGTGTAGAAAGTACACACGTGTACTGTTGATGGTTTACAATGTGGGTACCGAATTACGAGTGCGAGTTTAATTGGTGAGCTTATTTCCACAAAGTTACAAGGAAATTATGTAACCCTATTGAGCCCTAAGAAAATAATGGAAAAGATAAATCGTAAGTGGGGATTGCAATGCTTATATGGTAAGGCATGACAACTGAAAGAGTATGTGGAGAGTCTTGTGTTCAGTCTCCTAAAAGAGTCATTCCAAGTCCTCCCCTCGTATTTCCATATATTGGAACATGAAAATCCCGATACTGTCACAAGTGTTGCTACGGATGGGGAACAATGATTCAAATATTGTTTTTAGGCATTCGAGTCATGTATCCAAGGGTTTAGTGCTGTAATGCGGCCTACAGTTGCTATCGATGCCACACATCCGAAAGGCAAATTTAAGGGTGTTCTATTTATTGCAGTATGCAAAGATGTGACTGGGCAGATATATCCAATTTCATTTGGCATTAACGTTGAGGATGAAGAGTCTTGGTTGTGGTTTCTTAACCAATTGTGTTGTGCAATTGGTTGTCCTGAAAGTGCAATATTCATTTTTTATTAGCATCTTGGCATTAAGAATACAGTTGAGAAAGTGTACAAGGATGCGCATCACGGTTTATACAATTACCACTTAGGGAAAAACGTTAAAAACATGTTCAAGTGCAAAGATATTGCTACGATTGTCACCTTGGCCACCAACTGCTATAGGCTCATTGATTTCAACAGACGTATGAATCAGCTGAAACAGCTCTGCAAACCTACTTATGACTGCCTTATGAGATTAAGGCCTGAAAGATGGGCACGTGCACGGTCACCAGTAAGGTGATACAAGCTAATGACATCCAACATTATGAAGTGTATTAACTCTTGCTTGAGGCATGTAAGGAAAATGCCAATAACTGTCTTGATCGAGTGCATCAGAGGCATGTTCCAACATTGGTTCCATGACCGGCATAATGAGGTATTGAAATTGACAACGCCTCCCAACCCTTGGGCTACCGATCTATTGAACACATGGTTCAATGAAACATGTCACTTTTCCATACAACCAATTGATCAGGTGGAGTTTTAAGTTATAAGCGAGACTAAGGACGCAGTCGTCAATTTGTCCACCAAGACGTGTTCATGCGGTGAGTTCCAAACTGATCTACTCCTCTGCGCGCATGCCATGGCCGCAATAAGGTATGAATAATCATTTTTTCTTATTTTGTGCATGATGAATTAGATTTTGACATTGTTCACAACTGTGATTTCATTGCCTTGGCAATAAGTGCAAACATGCAGCCATTGAATTCTACTCGAACTATTACAAGACTCAATCTTAGGTGGAGGGATATGTGGTTCCCATTCGCCCGATTAGGCATCCCAATCGTTTTGCCACCAACTTGGTGAGGTCAAGTTGGAAGACCTATGAAGAAAAGGATTCCATTAGCTAGGGAAGGCAATCGACAACGTAAATGTTCACAATGCAAGAGCTATGGTCATAATAGACAAAATTACTAGACTCCGTTTACAGGTACATCAACAAACAGGGAAACATCATCTACTCAGCCGATGGCTTGTTGATGGCATTGACCCAAGGCATGTTCAAATTGCAAACAACCCGAGGACACACGAAATCGTTGTCTAAAGCAAACTACAAACTCTGAGAACGTTATTGTTGCCGTACCTAAAGATAGTGGCCTTTCAAATGTTAGTTGCTAGCAATATGTATACGTTTATGCTCAAAAACCTAAACCCTAAACATGAAGAATAACCATTTCTCCACATGGTTCACAATATAATAAAAAAATATTATACCTTTTTTCACATAATGTGAACTTCCTCTCACTATTCAATATGTGAACTACATTTATGCGAATAATAACAGCTCCAAAATGCTCCTACTATGGCGAAAATACTTGGAAGTTGAACTGGTAAGGAATGCTTCCGATAAAATTGCTTTTGAGGAGATGTACGGTCTGTCGATGAGAACTAAGGAGTTATGGATCATATAAACATACTTGACCCGTTAATAGGTTTCGGGTTAAAGCGTGGAGCCAACGAATGGGTCGATTTCACTAGGGACAATTTTGTCCAAATTTTATTTCTCTTGGCTAGAAATAGTTAAAATTATGGAAAAGCCTATTCTCAGAAACACCTTATGCATGGAGCTTGTTTTAAAAAAAAAAAACTCTTAACAATATCTCATAAACGTATAAAGTTAAAAATTTTAAAATTCTTTCAAAACAAAATTTTTTAAAATTATAAGTATTTTTTTATTAACAAAGTGATAGTATTTGATTTATTGATGATATATATTATGTGCTAATAATGCATTAAATATAAAATTTTTATTTATTTTATTATTATTATGGTATCAGCATAAAGTCATTCCCTTTGTCTTTTGGAAGTTCTAAAGGTGAGCTAGTCTAAATGTGGACCAACTCAATCTAAAGTTGGGAATCATCACATTATCAGAGCCGAAATCAATATGACCATTCCCTCACTTATTTTACATCATAAGACGGGAACAAGGGAATGTGGGAAGCATTCATCCACTCAAAATTCTAGGTCCAAAATACCATCCCCTTTTGCAATTAGTCCGCAGCTTTGATTTTGTGAGAATGGAACCATTGCTATGTTTAGGGGCTACTTTCGCATCTTTATAGAATGTTACGTCAAATAAAAGAATAAACAAGGGAAGGGTTTGAAGCTTATAAATGTAGATGTTGCACACTTAATTTAATTTTTTAGAAAGAAGATAATCGTTTCATGATAAATGATATTCGAATTTACTCAAACTCTATTCTGATACCATACCAAGCATTTCAATGCATGGAGTAGACAAAATCACTTGAATTGCAACGACAGTTTTAAAGAGTGAAAGAATCTTATGAAATCTCATATGGGATGGATAAGATAGGAGTCTTGAGTTTATAAATACAGCCGCAACACACTCAAATAAACATATAATGATTCTGCAAGAGTGTCACTCTAAGTCAGTGTTTGAAAGTTCTTTGAAATTTCAATTTGGAGCATGCCAACTTAATCACCCACATATGATTAAAGAGGGTTAAAGAAGAAGGACAATTGGACTAGAACAATGGTTTGCATTGTTAATAAGTATTTGGGACCAAAAAAGACAAGTAAATGAAGCTCAAAGTATGGGATGAAGATTCATGGGGACGTGGATGTTATCAGCTGCATGAGTGAGACAGGATGAGAAGTGGCAATTGTTTTTTGTTTTTCCATTAACAACTACTAGCGTTATGGCAAAAAGAATCAAGGAATCTCACGCCAAAGGTAAAACCCAAAAGAAGAAGCCTTTTTTAGAGGAGTCCCATGGGAGGTGCCTCCCCCGACACCCACCGCACCGACCTCCTCAAAAGTTCCAAAAGGTTCTGCCCCTTTGGTCAACTGCCAATACCGCAGGTGCTGGGAACACCCCCTCCCCTGCACGTCATACCACACATCCGCACGTGTCAAAAGGGACAAGACAAGATTGTACGGACATGAACCTCAATGTGTATGGTAAAAAAAGTCCTCTCCCTTCTCTACTCATAGGCCAATGGCCATGGAGGGGGTGGGGGGCTGCATTAATGAAAGCCTGGGGTCCTTCTGAAGGTGAGCAAAGAATTTGTGGTAGTGTTTTAAGTTTGAAGTTAAACCTGGCGAATTTTCAGGCGAAACTCTTCGACTTGTGTTTCTTTCTTCACTGTTTTTGAGGCTGTAAAAACCGGGTTTCTTGTTGTCTAAGCCCCCCACTTTCATTGCTTGGTCAAAAAAGGCTAGTACTTGTCTTTTACCCATGGGGTCCCTATGGGTAAAGTTAGCAAGTTGGCTTTTTCCTTGAGGATTCTGCCATTCATTACAGAGGAAAGCATTTAAGATCAACAGAAAGAAAAAAAAATTGAATATAACAATGAGAAAACTCAGTAGAAATTACTATTTTTTTTTTTTGCCTTTCATTTGTACAGAGGAGGGAGCCATTACATTTCTCTCTTGAGAACAAGAACACAGAGCAAACCAACAAAGACCCACTAGTAGAAACATCAGCAAGAAGAAGAAAAAGAAGAAAGAAAAGTAGAATCTAAGACATATCAGTCATTTCTGTAACCAAAATGGAGGAGACTCCCAAATCACCACTCCTCTTCCTCTGCCTTTTCTATACCAGTAATTTTTTTTCTCTTTTTTGCTTTTTTTTTGGGTGGGGCGGGGGGGGGGGGGGGGGGGGGGGGTGTGTGTTGGGGGAGGTGTTTCTTAAACTTTCATGAGAGAGAGAAAAAGGAGGGACATAATCAGAGCCAGAGAGCTCCAGCTTCTTTGAGAAGAGGAACAAGAGTGCCATTGATATGGGAAGCCATGACTCTATCCATAGCACCCACAAGTTCCCACCAATGAACACAACAGGAACAGCAGAAGAGCTTCTGAGAAGCCTCATCAAAGCCCTCTCCATGTCTTTCCCTCTGGGATCTTCATCGAGCTCGTACACAGTCGGGTTGACTCCCATGCCGCAGAACAGCCTCTTAATGGCATGGCACATGCAGCAAGTACTAATACTGAAGATAACCACCGCATTCCTTGAAGCCACCTCTCTATCCTCTCCAGCGGGTCCCCAACGCTCCTGTGGACGTTGGCATGTAAGATCCCCATGACCTGTCTGGCAATGCATATTCCAAGTAAAGCTAGAAACAAAGAAGAAACTGCGTTGGGATTTTGGGTTAGGTGAGTGTGGGAGAACTTTGAGCTTGCTGGTGAGAAATGATGGAGGTTTGGCTGGTATTTATAGAGAGAAGAGAATCCAAAACATGGGCTGTATTTTGGGTCATGTTTTTTCTTTTCTATTTTCAAACGCGAAAGGGATAGTTTTATAATAATATAATAAAGTTGGTCCCTTCGGTCTTCACCATTGCAATCGTCACTCGTCAGCGCAATAAGGTCTGACAGTTAGAGAATTAGTGTAAAAAGGTCGATTTTTTAGGATTATGAATCTTTCAAATCAAATTTCTTGGATTTATATTCCAAATATCAAATGCATAATCTCACTTCATAAATATGTCAAAATTAACAAATTTAGGAAGCTTTCAAAATAAATATTTATGTTTAAAGATTTCGAGACCAAATATATTGATTCATTCAAAGTGTATAAAATTATTTACTGACAATGCATTAAATGTAAAATATATAAATTTAAATTTTTTATATATTTTATATTAAATTTTTTAAAATAAAATAAAAAAGGGGAAGAGAATATAAAAAAAGGGATTCCATAAATTATGTTAATTAATTTTTAATCTCATTAATTACACTTTTAGATTATTATATAATCATATGAAAAGAATCTGCACTAACTAAGAAGGAAAGATATTTTGTCAAGTTATTTTTCCTCGTCAGCATGAAATTAATTAAGATTTTTGGACATTCTCACATGATACTTTCTATTTTTTTATTAATATCTTATGGATATATTTTATTTTAATTAATATTCGTGGATAACACAAAGAATTAAACTGTTAATTTTTATCTAATGAAATTAAAAAGAATACACTTAAATATGATTAAACAAATTAATTTTTGATTTTAAAATATTTTAATAATTTTACTAGATAAAATTACCACTCTAACCTCATGTGAAAACAAAAGTCATTCATAAGGTACTAATTAAAAAAAATCACATGATGTGAAAAAATATTAAAATCATAAAAAACGTAGATGGAATTTATCGGATAAAAAACCTCATACCGTGAATGGTAAAATCAAAATATATATTATTAGCAAGTAAGGGTATGTATTTACAACTTTCATTATCATTATTTAAAATTGTACTAGTAAAGTACTAAGCTTATATCTATAGAAAGATATATTTTTTAAATGGTTATACGGGGAAAGAATTAAATAAAGAAGTAGTACTATAGTGATTATGCAATGAGCAAGGTTGGCGGCCATCACCTTTCAATTTTTATTTTTTTAATTATTATATGTATAAAATAGTAAATGTATAACTTTGTCACTTTAAAACAAATTACATATATTAGTTTAAAATAATAGTAATTTTTTTAACTAAATTTTAAATGGCCTAAGTTCAATCCCTTATAAGCTCGAGTTTTAGAATTATTATTTTTTTATTATTAGAATTATTTTTTTTTTGGGATTTAAAACTTATTAAAGATTACTAACACCATTGACATGAATTTAATTTTTTTAATTTAAAATTTATATTTAAATTATTAATAAAATTTATATTATAATTTAATTTTTTATAAAAATAATTAATTTTTTTATTTCGAATCAAATTGCTAACTCGATCTATGACCTTAATTACTCTTCAATCACCCATACAAAACGCGTCAGGACGTGAAAGAGGAGGCTTGAGGAGGGGAAGGAGTTGTTGGCTAGTAGATGGCTGAGCCCATCCTTGCTGTTGGCGCTGCGCCATGATCGTGTACGAAGCAGAGGAACGTGGCCATCACAAACACTTGTTCCCTTTTTATTTGACGTGGACCTTCGTGGGCATTTTCAGCTTAATTCTTCTCTTGGAATCTTTTACCCTAACCTACTTACAATATACATACATATAATATATATATATATATAGATAGATGTAGCTCATTTAACACAAGCCCTAAATCCCTCATTAATTTCACTCTGTTTACTCTAGCTCTAGGATAGGAATTCCGATTTATTAGACCCTTGTCTCGAAATTTCATTATATATAATTTTTTTTGTTAAAATATAAGAATTCTCATCTATATTTCGAGCATAGTTTTAAAGTAACACTAGTTTCTTAATAAAACAGGTATTGTTAAAACATGGATCAATTGCATTAGGAACTAGTTTTTAATAATAAATTACGGTTGCTTTTCTTAAAAAATAAGCAAAAAACAATTAACTTAGGAAAAGCTAGAGGCATGATAAAAATTAGTGCAATAGATAGGCTTTTTCCCTTATTAATTAATATGATTAAGTGGTGGAGATATATATTGATGATCTCGAATGTGAATATTCTCGACGGCTCTGATTTTATAAATGCTGTAAGTTTATCTTGGATTTGGGCGGTTTCTTTTATTTTTCTTTTCTTTTCTAGAGAAAATCTTAAAGGAAAGAAAGAAGGAATATGGTCGACAAACATAGAATTATACATAGTAATTGGATTGCTACATCTGCTACATGTGAGACTCATATTCAAAGTTATCTGTTTAGCATCTTTTAAGATAGCTGAACTAAGGAAGAATTGATCTTTATTCATTTTAGACTAATTAATTGCCTATATATATTCACCTAGGAGATACCGATGCCCTAATATCTACAAATATTCATAAAGCTTGATATTGTGTATATCTACCCTTCTCATGAAAAGTCTACTTTCGAGTTATTTAATTTGAAATTCAAATACAAGAATGGCAACTTCGAATTTTTCAAATCATTTCTCTTTATCCTTAGAATTTCACGTATAAAAAATACTTTATACGATTTGGGTTTTGCTCAGATTTTATCCTCCCCACTTATTTGATGAATTTTCCACCAGTGAGCGCATGCAACGTTGCTCCCATGACTCACAGTCTATGCAGTCTTATCCGATGAATTAAGCAGTTAAAATAGGAATGGGCGAATGGGTAAAACCAGTGAAAAAGTTCAAAAAAAAGCAAAAATTTTGTAGGTTAAAGGATAGAGGAGGATGTCCGTACACATGATGTTGAGTAAAAAAACAAAGTTAATAAGGGTTTTGGTGTGTGTGTGGGGGGCCAATGGATTGGAGGATGAGAAGGGAAAAGGGCAGAGGGCCAAAGATAATATTGCATGTACTAGCTAGCTAGTAGCTACCACTCTTTCTTTTCGGCCTTTTCAAAAGATTGATGGTTGAAATGCCATGACATTCAAGTAGCTTCAAACCCAGGCAACCTTTTTTCTTATCAGAGTTCAAAAAGAGTCAAAAGTTATCAGAGTTTGGAAGGATCATAGCCGTTTGATAGGTCGACATAAGTTGATCAGGTGGTGAGGGTTCTGAGAAAATGTACTACGACTAACAAGGTTTGCTTGTTGTTTGAGTTCAAAAAAATAAGAACAAGAATGTACTTGACTTAGCCTGGCTGCTGCAGCATTGCAGAAGCTTTGCTGATAGAAAATACGAGGCGTGATCGCATTGCTCAGCTTTTTCTATCTATTTTTGTATTCAATTCAACGTTTATCACTTTGCCTCCCCCTTCTCTTATCTTTTACAGTGAAACAATGCTGACAGGGATTTCAAGAGTGGAAAAGGAATAAAAGAAATTTAGGAACAACCATTCCCAAAGCTTCACCTCATCACTTATTCTCCTAAAAAGTATTTGGCCAATTTTTTTTTTGGATTTCAAACATTGATTATGACATGATTAATACAAAGTTGATTCAAATGATAAGTTTATTCTTCTCAATTTATATGATTATGGGTTTCAATTTTATGAATGATCCTTTTATTGATGTTAATTTTGAATGTGAAATCTTTGTAACGTAGGACGAATCTCATCTAAATTTAAATAATTGATCGATTTTTTTATTTTGATGTTAATTTTGAATGTAAAATTTTTATAAAAGTGAATTTTGAGTTATAATTTTATTTCTTACAACGTTAATTTTGAATATAAAACTTGTGTGGGATACAACATATCTTACCAAACTCAAAAGATCGAGTAACTCTTTATCTTGAGAATAATTTTATAAGAAGAATACATTAATATATTACATGGATGAACGTGAGTGTTGTGAATGAAATGGTAAAATAAAGGCATGAAAGGGAAGGGAAGTTGAAGGGAGGGATAATGGTGTTAGAGAAAGGTAAAAAAAAAAGAAAAAGGAAAAACATGTCGCGGTGAAAAGCCGGTGACGCTGTTGTGATATGCTCACAACAACCGTTAAAAAATAAATTTATTTTAAAAAAAGAATTCCCCCAATGCATTGGATTGTCGGCCGTTAATTTGTTTATTGCTTACTTTGGGCTTTGAATTTGCTCAAACATTGCCATGAGAATTGTGTTAAAAGGAAAAATGAGTGCAAATGTTTTGTTTCTCTTTCTTTTTTAACTGTGACCTGATTTAGTTGTTCTCGTTCGGTAATTAATGGCAGACATTTTGTTCTTTGAGGGGGAGACCAATGGTTTTTCGACATTCACATTGGTTTTCACCAATTATAATAATTGGTTTCTCATGTTTTTTTAATAAGGTCGGTGTTTTATGATGTTAGCCAGTTTAATTTAAAAAATAAAATTCCATTGTACATGGTGGTAACAATTAATACACATGAAATGAGCTACATATCAAGATTGGCTATGTAATGCATTAGTAGCTCTTCGGTCCACTTATTTGGCAGAATTATTTAGTTTAGTTCGATTAAAATTGAAATCAAATTATCTGAATTATAATTTTTAGTTAATTGATTTTTATGATTAGAGAGATTAGGAAAGTAAGGGTAGAGTAGCCATTTTTTGATCTTAGGGATGATGATGGATATTTAATCTTTTCGTATATTCAAAATTATTTGACTTGATTATATAGGGTTTGAGTATCTTACATTCAAATTTGAGACAGAGTTTCAGTAAAAGATTTATTACCTTTTTCAAGTTCAAATAGGATACGAAGATCATCCTTTGGATACTTAATAATCAAATCCAATTATCTTTATATTTAGGTACTATCAAGTACTCGTATACTTAGCTAGATATTTAAGTTGAGATTTATATTTGATACAGTAATATTGAATAATTTATAT